CTGATATGACTAAATGTAGACAGACAATGACATGGAATTTCAAAGCATGTCCCCTACTATTTAAGTTTCCTCACTTGATTAGCTCGGAAAAGACCCAAAGCAATTATTGACTATAGCCATTTCATATAATAGTACCAATGTAGTCAGTGCCACAAATTCTATACTTAGCATAACTGACACTTTGAGATAAAGTGAGGGGATTGAATGAGAGAAATAGCTTTTTCATACAGCACAAAGGTAAACAAGTTGCATCTGTAATTGACTTTTAAAAATTTACTATTTTAAGGCTTATGCAAGACAAAAAGCCATCCATTGTTTGAATATAACGTACATGATAAGTCAAAGTTCCATTCACAGTTTTCTTGCATCCAAGGTCTACCTGTTGACTTTTATCCCTTCTCTCGCCTTTCTCCAGAGTAGTCACACTGAGCTGATGATGATGGAGAGCAAGAAAACCAGCCTGGTAAAACGGGCTGCATATCTGAGGAAAAGTGTGACTGAACTTCCGCAAGACTTCAGCTTCAAAATGCATAACCTGGAAGACACGTGGAACCAACTGGAGGTAACACACACATGTAGAGATACTACTGTTAGAATTAGGGTAAGAATTATTTTAGGTCCTTATATACCATTCGGTGCAAATGGTAAAGGTATGGTTCAGAGGTGAGAGAATACTTTTTGGACCTTTAGAGTCTATCCATTGCATAGATGAATGCATCTATGCACGGATAGATGGATGCATTGATGGATGGATGAATGGATGAACAACCTTTCTGGTGAGTTATACATTAGTATAGGTTAACATATTGCGAAACAAAATACTCAAATGATAACAAACAAAAGAAAAAACAGAGGGAAAATGTCCGTTTTACTGTGAGGCCATTCTGCTTCTATGAACTCAGGGCTTTCTCATTTAATCTTGCAAGTTTTATTTATGAAATTGAGTAACATTGCATGAGTCTCAATTTCAACCAATCATATGCTTCAAACATCTGGGGTATGAAGAAGCTGAAGTCTTGATCAAAGCTTAAGATCATGTTAAAGCTGGCCACTTTAACATGAAATTAACAATAGCAAAAGAAAGGTAGCAGTACTTCTAGATCAGCTTTGAATATGACTCAATGCACAATAGGGCTTTAACATGGTTTTACAACCAGCTCGTGAAAGAAAAGGGACGTAACACAAACCAGATGTTACTGGTAATGGCAAAAAGTTATTTATTAACTAAAAGAAAGATTCAGCCAATGACCATAAAGACATATATCATATCCCAAAAAATAGTAACAAAACAGAACACAGACCAACAGCACATAAACCAGAGGATCCAAGGCAGTACAAACAACCACAGAAAACCAAACTGGAATGATTAAAAAGAGTCCAAATTAAATTCAAGTGCCACAGCACAGTTCCAAAACCATATCCTCCGAAGGTGTACACACACAGGCATGAGAGCAGGGCCGTAACAATATGCTCCACAAGTTCTTGACTCCAGGCTCCTTAAATCCAGCGGGTGGCCCCTCCTGATTGGTGGAATGGAGACCTCACAGGTGGATGGCATCAGCTCATTACTGCAGGAACCTTGGGAGCTGTAGTCAGGCCTCAGGAAATAGAGAGGGAATTAATCCCTCCTCACAGGATGCGGCAGTGGCCGTAACACATGGACTTGTAAGAGGCAGAGTGAACAGTGTTTACTGGAAATGAGTTCTGGAAGTGTTTCATCGCTCATGCAATCATTTGCATGACAATATCGTGACTGTTTTAAATTCAGTACCACTCGAGGACCAGAGAATTACAGGGTCCAGTATGAATTTTTGACTGTCATTTGCAAAGAGTGATCTCTGAATATTTTGATGATATTGTATACTATGGGTGATAGAAAACTCACAATATTTTTGGTGACCCGGTTGTGTTTTTCTGTTTAGACATTCCATATGCTTTTACCTCTGCTTTCAATAATATATTGGTTTATGATATTAGGTAATATGGGACTCTGTTTAGTTACTTTTTAGAGAGGAATCCAAACTGCGTTTGGATATTTTGAGTCTGAGTTGATTAATCATTTATGTCTAAATGGCATAAAAAACATGGGTTTTACATACGGAACTGGCACACCTTGAGTTACTCAGATTTGTATCCCGTAATTTTACATTGCTAGTGTGAACACAGTTCACAGTTCTTGTTTGTTTGTGTGTAGTGACATAAGCATCAACTTAAATTAAACATTTTAGAAATGTCACCCTAGCAATAGATCACTCCTCTCATACTCCCTCACTTCTGAGTATCTGCCACAGTAACCGGACTAACCTAAAGTCCTATCACTGACAAGATGATGTGAAGACAGAGCACTGTTTCACTGGCAATAATATTAAGGTTTTTGTGTATATATCAGCTAAAAGAGAGACATGTTAAATTTTGATGCAAGTTACCTTTAGATCGTTGTTTTTCTCAGTCTTTGCCAATTTTTAATTTTTAGTTCAATTTCCAGTTCCATTTATGTTAGATGGTGCAAAATCAATCGATCTAGTGCCTTGATCAATCAGTTCCAAAATACTTCTCAAATAAAGCATATTAGGAATTCAATTAATTGTAATACAATCAAAATACAATCAGTTCAACTGCATTAAGTTGAAAACATATTTGATTCATACAGAGCCTATTTAAAAAGCTCCTAGCAAAGGAAATGCTAGTTACCAGTGTAACCAAGGTTCCCAGAAAAATGAGTGAGGCATCTGGCATGACTACTCACAGCAGCCCTACTACTAACAAAGTCTGTCAACGACAGACCAATGCTTGGCTCAGGAGCACCTGTCCCCCTTTATAAGGGCCTGCAGTCCTGTACCTGACATTCGTAAACACATTTCTTCCACATTCCGATTCAAGACGGGCAAGGTGTTAAGATGGTTCATTCAGTTTCCAGAGAACCATAGTTACACTGGTAACCTTACATTTTCTCTCAAGCATCACTTGCTATTTCACCTTGGGAGATACTGAATGGCGGTGATTACCAAGTCTGTCAAAACAGTGACCTGTGAGCAACATGTCCACAAACCACGTGTCCCCCACCACCCGCATTATATGTTAAGAAGCTTAAAAGTCCATACTAAGGACTGAATGTGGCAAAGAGGATGCAAACATATCCAGACAATAATAGCGTGTGAGGGATTTCCAGTTTGCCGCCTTGTAGTAAACACCCACCCTTTAAATATGGTTCACGATTTTGAAGTCCCTCTTGTGATTGATTTTTATACCAGCAACAAAAGCTTTATTATTGTAGAGCAAGTCCCAGAGAGAGCACAACACATCCATAAAGAAACATTAAAAGGAAATTATATTCCTGTCTCCACTGCAATTTTAAAATAGGTGGCACTTATCATCATTTGGAATTCAGAATATTGTCATTCACTTTCAACAGTTACCAGACCCAAATAAGTCTGGCCTCTCATTGTAATGTCCAGAGGGACAACCGTTGGCAATGTGGGTTAAGACCTCTGCCCATGACTCTGTGACACCAAGTCCTTGTGCAGTGGCAGCGGACATTTCTTGGTGGGGAGAAGATTCACCGGTTCCACCATCCAAGGCCTGCTGGGCCATTATGCCACTATTTTAATCAAACATTGCTCCCTCTCTCTGTTCAGCACCAATACTATCAGGCTTAGCTTAGCAAATTTATACAGAAACACATTTGACCATGGGTGCCCCAGCTCATCCACCATAATGAGTCTTAATTTCAAGTGAAAAGAAAAAGCCACACTGCATTTTTTTATGATGTGATGAGGTCTATGGACACATGGTCGAATCTCTCCCACACTTGCTTGACCCTCTCCGGGTTGAGCATACACACCCCACAGAGGGGATTTGTCCTGTGGAAAGTAAATCTGCTCTTCTGATCAACACACTGGGGATGTGTCCTGCAAGTAATGAGAGCAGACACTGACTCCTCCACGTTGAACGGAGGAGGTCTATGTTTTTTTTCTTAAATAGTAGCTGGTGCATGGATGCAGTGATTACACCAACACTGTTGTGGTATCCTAGAATCAGTTTTTATTGAGTGTAAACCTTACTACCGTTCTCCTCCTCATGGGAGTTTACATCCCTCCGCAAGTCCCCCACCTGCGAAGTACTGCAGCAGCTAGATAAGCAGATGTCAACCATGGAAACCTCTTGACCTAATTCAGTAGTTCTTGTGATGGGAGATTTCAACACCTGCAATCTCTCAGGAGCTGTCGAATTATATACAGCTGGTGACATGTGCTACGAGGGACCAAATCATCCTGGACCACTTCTATTCCACCATTAAGAACTCATACCGCTCCATCCGGTGTCCCCCTTGGATTTATGACCACTGCATCATTCAAATGGTCCCCACATACAAGCAGCAACTGAAGAGGGCCAAACCATCAAGGATTACAATGAAGAGGTTGACTCCAGAGGCAAGGGACATGCTTCAGGATTGCATGGAATCTACTGATTGGAAATCACTGAGGGGGCCTGAGGATGAGAACGGCTGTGTCACTGACACCGTATGTTCCTACATCGGCTTTTGTGAGCAGGTTTGCTTCCCAACCAAAACTATCACACGGTACAACAACCAAAAGACCTGGTTCTCCAAGCAGCTCAGAGAGTTTAGATGCCCAAAAGAGCAGGCTTACAGAGAAAGTGATATGGACACATTCAGGCTGGCCAAACATAACCTTAAGGGGGCCATCACAACTGCTAAAAGAAACTATTGTGCAAGACTTGAGCGTGATTCAGACACGCTCTGCAGTTGTGAGGAGTACCCTCAGGACCACTACAGGGTACACGGGAAAAAGCCTTGCCATCACTCCTTCCCTTGGACTAGCTGACGATCTCAATACCTTCTACACCAGGTTTGAGAGAACACTTGCCCCTCTTTTGTCTTTAATCCCTGGCCCCGCTCCTTCCTTTCACACAGGCACTGTCCCTCCTCCCATCCCTCATCCCCCCACACACCTCACACTGTCGCCCTGACATCTGTGGTCATGAATAGTTTTGAGAAGCTGTCGTACCTTAAACCAATAACTGACCCCTTCTTGGACCCTTTACTGTTTGCCTCCGGAGCAAATCGTTCTGTTGACGATGGCATCAACATCAGCCACCACCACATACTAATGCACATGGACCAGCCGAGCTCCTACGTCAGGGTCCTGTTCAAGGATTATAGCTCGGCCTTCAACGTCAGCCTCCCAGACCACCTGCAAACTACTACAGCTATACTCTCCCGGCCCCATCTTTGAGTGGATCACTGTTATCCTCACCAACAGGAAGCAACAAGCAGCTTCCTGTCTCCCCCCCTCACCACCAACAACTGTGCTCCACAAAGTTGTGTCCTCTCCCCCTACCTGTTCTCCCTGTATATCATTGACTGCCTCTCCAGCCACCCGTCCAGCAAACTGGTCAAGTTTGCGGATGACACCACAGTCCTGGGCTTTATCAAGAAAAACTATGAGATGGCATATGGGGACACGGTGTCACAGTTGGCAGCACGGTGTGCAAACAACAACCTGGAGCTCAGCGTTAATAAGACGGTGGATATGGTCAAGGTCTTCCACAGGCATCCCCCCATCCACCCCCCACTTCTCATCAACAGTTCTGCAGTTCAGGTGGTTGAATCTGTGAAGTTCCTAGGCACTACCATCACCGGCAATCTCAAGTGGAGACACACTCAACCAAGGTCATCAAGCAGGCGCATCAGAGGATGTTCTTCCTCAGACTGCTCTGCAGTTCACACTTTATTGTCCACATATAAATGTGTATGAAAAATTGGAAGTAAACAAAGTCATCAACAATAAAGATAGTTGTCACACAATTCTGAAAACATAATTTTGTGGGAAGATCAATCATGAATTTTCTCATTTATTAGAATAAGCCTCATTTTGCGATACTTGGAATGCATAAAACATATGCATACTGCGTTTCAGATTTTATGGTAGATACAACTTTTGTTATCATCGACAGAAAAGATTTTTAAAATGCCAAGAGCATTACGAATACTTTATCTGAACACCACTGAAAGTACTTTGGATATTCTTATTTAAATGATAACAAATATACCTTTTATTGATCTACACATTTACTTATGTCCATGATTAATGGCAGTGTATTTATTGATTGATATGTTTTACATGATTGAGTGCCAACACAAATTACCTGATTTTTTTTTCTGCTATCTCTTTTTAGAAAATTCTATCAGACCATTTAGGATTGAATTCTTCTGAGCAAAGCGCCTCATCAGATGTGAACACTCTGGTTTGGGATCAAAGCTCTGCTTTTGAAAACGCTCACTCTTCCCCATCTGCTCGAAGTAATTCACTTCTGGATCAGCTGGAAGCACGAATCAAGGAGCTCAAAACATGGTTGCGAGAAACAGAGCTCCTCATCTTCAACTCTTGCCTGAGACGGGACAGAGACATGTCTAACCAGATGCAAAATTTCAAGGTAGGAAAAAAAATGCTGGATAGTTTTTTGTGATGCTGGTCCAGTTTAGCATTCACCGCGTTTTTGTTGGTTTGTAAATGACATCTCAGATAATTGGATTTTTTGGGGGGGAAATGCAGTACCATTATTGTTATGTTTTATTTTATGCTCTTACAACAATATAGCAATAAAAAACTCATAGTCCTTCTTATTAACTGTATCCATGAACCAGCTGAACTGATCCCTCTTTTAAGTGCAGCTTTGGAACGTATTTCAAATTTAATTGTATTTTAGGTGCAGCTTTGTAACGCATTTCAAATCTAATTGTATTTGGGACTGAAATTACTTCAATCAACTAGTTACATTCTTATGAGTAAGGCGACTAAGTATAAATGCTGCTTTTAATTTGGGTTTATAGTGTCCTCAGACACTAAGGTTCAGAAACAATGCCACATTTTTCCATGTATACCTTTCAAGTTGTTTCTTTTGTCAAAGAAACAACTTCTGTACATTATGTATTGCCATGAGGGTGGTTCTTGGAGGGAGGACTCAGGTGCGGAGATGAGGGAAACAAGGTTTATTGTAACAAAAAACTCATGACGAGTGAATGTCCAGACAAAGTACAAATCAAAGCTGTGAGCAAAGGCAAAGTAACAAAATAAAAAACAACAAGACTAAGGCAAAACTATGACTGACAAAGTAACAAAATAAAGATTAACAAGACTGTGACAAAACTGTGATTAAGACAAAAGCAAACCTGGCATGGGGGTGACGAAGGACAAGACGGACGAAAGGACAAGAGACGAAACTCGCACAAGACAAGGGGGAACGAGGACTATTTAAACACATGAGGGAGGGAAACCCCAGGTGTACACAATAGGTAATCAAGACGAGACACCAGACGTGACAGAGCCCCCCCCCCTTAAGGGACGGCTCCCAGATGGCCATAACACACACGAGGACCGCGGGAGGGGGGGGGGGGGGGGAATCAGGAACAGAGGGAACAAACACAAGGCGTGGAACATGGCGTGTGAGTTGGCTGTGGAACATGGCTGGGGATATGGCGAGGGGCGTGGCTTGGGACATGACGAGGGACATGAGACAGGGGCGAGGGACATGACAGAGGCGAGGGACGGGACATGGAATGGGACTAGACTTGGTGGCTGGGCGAGCATCCATCGGCTCGCTAACCGGCATGGACTTGAGGAGCTAGCCCCTTAGGGCTCGCTCATGGGAACTTGACCAAGTTGGCGAGCCCCCCTTAGGGCTCGCACATCGGCATGGACTTGTACTGCGTGGTCCTGGAATGGCGAGCCCAATCGGGCTCGCTCATGGTCAAGGCAGGGGACATGGCATGGAGAGGGACATGACGGGGGACATGACTGGGGACATGACGAGGGATGTGGCTGGGGACATGACGAGGGACGTGGCTGGGGACATGACGAGGGACGTGGCTGGGGACAGGACGAGGGACGTGGCTGGGGACAGGACGAGGGACGTGGCTGGGGACA